AAACCGAGCCAACTTACAGTGGGTCTAAAAAGCGCAAGCCAAATGAAAGAAAAGTGAGTTACACATCTGAGCATGAGGAAATCTCAGATGAAGAGGAGCAATACTGTGGCCAACTTATCCAGAGAGTCGTAGGATTTACTGCCAGTCCAGTGTATGGACAGTATGGAGTACCGTGGATAGCTCCCCAGATGTCTTTTTATCCTGCAGTTTGTTTATGCCTGCTTGTTTGTTTTGAATGCAACAAATATAGTGTAAATAATGCAATTATTGTAAATATTATAACTGTAAGATACTTACCTGGTTTATCCAAGATTGTGACTTGTTTTAAATGCATTTTAAAAATGGAAAACAATTCAGAGGGTACGATGACAAAAATGGTTTGAATGACATTTGGTTAAATTGTAACATGTCATAGGAAGGTTACTATAAAGTTAAAGCTCCGGAGTGCAAACATAAGTTACAGTAACATTTGTCTGTAGAGAGATGTTAATACTGAGCTAATGGAAATAACTCAACAGGTTAACAAGCTTTGCGCTTGTTTGAGTAATGGGTATGAAGTGATTTTATATCATCTTTATTTCATTAGCGTGTGTTTAAAAGCTATGCTGCTGTACATCACTCTATTTTATCGTATGCCATTTTGTTTTTGTCGGTATATTTGTTCTTTATACCGTTAATGTATTTTGCTAATGTTGAGGACAACATTTCTTTAGCAGGGGAGGATTGTAGCACTTAGAATAAATGTGTAAACTTTTCTTTAATATTGTAGAAATAATTGTCCTTGTTTAAATACATAGAAAGAGTTAATGTAACGGTATTGTACTGAAATACATCAGTTGACAGGGAGCGCGGCCCTTGGTATATAACAGTGAGGTTTTTTGAAAAAACTGTTGTACTGAAGGACTTGTCATTTTCCGCTGTGTTCTCCGGAGACATTAAAGAGCTCATTTTTAGGTGGTGTAACATTAGCTTAGCTCAGGACAAACTGAGTTAGACCACGTAGATTCAGATTCAGATTCAGTTTATTTGCCATTTGCAGTAAAAAACCACATTGGAATACATTAGCAAAAAGTCTCAAATACAGACATAAAACAACATTAAAAGACAGAAATAAAACAAATAAAACAGTAAACAAATGTCACTGTGAAATCGATCGACTAAAACAGTTTCAAAACAAGTGCAAATCATTAAAGTGCTCTGTTCACACTGATAACAGCTTGTGGATAAAAACTGTTAGCGTAACGAGATGTCCTGCATCTCAGAGAGTGATATCTTCTGCCAGAGGGAAGAAGCTGGAACATGGCTTTCCCCGGGTGGCCAGAAGAGTCATTAACAATCCTCAGAGCTTTGTTTAAAAGTCTTGATTTATAAAGAACCTCCAGAACAGGAAGCTCATAGCCCGCAGTCCTCTTTGCAGAGCGGAGCACCTTGTTTAAAGCTCTCTTTTCTTTATCTGTGATGTTACCAAACCACACAGACACAGAACCAACAAGTAAACTCTCAATGGTGCAGCAATAAAAGTTAAGCAGAATCTTAGAGTTAGTGGTAAATTTTCTAAGTTTACGCAGAAAGTAGAGACGCTGACGAGCTTTCTTAACGACTCGGTCAGTGTTTTTAACCCATTTCAGGTCGTTAGACAGAGTTAAACCCAGAAACTTGCACTCCTCTACGATCTGCACCTGGGAGTTGTCGATTACGACAGGCAAATGAGAACTATTGCGACTGAAGTCGTAGACCAGTTCACATGTTTTCGATGCGTTCAACTGGAGGTTGTTAGTTTTACTCCACTGAACCACATTTTGTATCTCTGCTCTATAAGAGGATTCATCATTGTCACTGATGAGACTGATGATGGTGGTATCATCAGCATATTTAATGATCAAGTTTGAGTCAGAGGAGGACACACAATCGTGAGTGTACAAAGTAAAAAGCAAAGGACTCAAAATACATCCCTGAGGAGAACCAGTGCTCACAGAAGCAACATCAGAAAAACAGTCATTGATTATCACTCTCTGAGATCTGTCAGTTTAAAAGCTAAACACATGGCAACACTTAAACCTAGAGACATGAGCTTTTCAAGCAGTTTACCTGGGACAAGGCAGTTAAAAGCAGAGCTATAATCGATGAAAAGCATTCTCGCGACAGATTTCCTAGTGTCCAAGTGACTGTAGACAGAGTTCAGAGCAAAGGAGATGGCATCCTCCACACTCCTGTTCTGTCTGTAAGCAAACTGGAGCGGGTCAACACTCACAGGGATCTGGCTCTTAATGAAGTCCAGCACAAGTCGCTCAAAAGTTTTCATAAGAACAGACGTGAGGGCCACAGGACGATAGTAATTCAGGCATGTCACAGGAGTTTTCTTAGGAACTGGAATGATGGTCGACTCTTTAAAGCAGTTCGGCACAGTACAGTTCCTTAGCGACAGGTTGAAAATGTCTGTTAGCACAGGGGCAAGTTGCTCAGAGCACAGTTTCAGGACACGAGGAGGGATGCCGTCCGGGCCTGGGGCTTTCCGGACTATGGTCCTGGACAAGACACGCCAGAAGAAGACTTCCCTCCTGAGTCACGGTGAATGCAACTTGATTGAAACACTCAGGGAATACAGTAGGACAGGCATCAGCGGATTCAGAAGTTCTCTGACGACTCTGCCATCATCGAACTCAGCTCCGAGGACGATGACACAGAGTACAGAGGAGTTATACAGGACTTTGTGGACTGGTGTCAGCGGAACCACCTCCTCATCAACGCGAGGAAGACCAAGGAGATGGTGGTGGATTTCCGCAGACGTCACTCTGCCGCTCCAGTGAACATCCAGGGAAAGGACATCGAGAGAGTGGACTCTTACAAGTACCCGGGTGTTCATCTTAACCACAAACTGGACTGGACTCATCAACAGACGCCCTCTTCAAGAAGGGCCAGAGTCACCTCTACCTACTGAGGAGGCTTAGGTCTTTTGGAGTGCAAGGGCCACTCCTGAAGACCTTCTATGACTCTGTGGTGGCATCAGCCATCTTGTACGGTGTGGTCCGCTGGAACAGCAGCATCACAAAGAGGGACAGGAAGAAGCTGGACAAAGTCATCAGGAAGTCCAGCTCAGTCCTGGGCTGTTCCCTAGACACAGTGCAGCAGGTGGGGGACAGGAGGGTCCTGAGCAAACTAACATCTATGCTGGACCACTCTCTCTGCTCTCTGCTGTGGAGAGCAGTTTTAGTGACAGACTAATTCACCCTCGCTGTGTGAAGGAGAGGTTCCGTAGGTCTTTCCTTCCTGCTGCTGAGCCTGTAAATTTCATTCATCTGTAATTAAGTAAATTCTTAAATCATGTGCAATGTGCAATACTGCAACTTCAGAATGTCACAGAACAATGTCACTTTACTTATTATCCTGCACTATTTAACTGTACAGTATATAACTGCACTACTACATATATATATTTTGACTGGTATAGAAGCATTTTCAGCATCTGCAGCTAGTTATGTTAGCTAAGAAACATAGCTACTACTTATTTGTATATATTGTGTGTGATCCCTGTGTGCTCTTACTACTGTCCTATATGTGCGCTGCAACATTGAAATTTCCCCACTGTGGGACGAATAAAGGAATTCTTATCTTATCTTAGAACGTGTTCAGCTCGTTTGGCAGAGCTTGGCCGACAGATGCAATTTTCCCAGCACTAGGTTTCCACGATGTGATGGCTTTAATACCGTTCCACATGCGCCGAGGGTCATCTTCCTCAAAATAACTCTTTAACCTGTCCCCGTAATTGCGCTTTGCAGATTTAATAGAACGTTTCAATGAGTAACAGGATAGCTTATAAGCAACTGTATTCATCCAAGGGTTTTGACTAAAATGTTCTTTAATGACCTTCTGTGGGACACAAGTGTCAATACAGAAGCGTATGTATCCAGACACAGCGTCACAGAATTCATTGACGTCCTCTGACTGAAACACAGACCAGACCGTAGCATCAAAACAACCTTGTAGCTTCATGCTAGCCTCCTCAGACCAACACTGCACAGTGCGAGAGGTTGGTTTATGTTCCCTGCTCCTCTGATAAAAACGTAGGATAAAAAAGTTATAAACAAACCTCTTTGGCAGATCCAACGGCCTCATGCCTGTAATTGATCCCAAAATTTGTGTTCATAATTCATTAGTAAAGAATGAAGCAGTACCTACCATTGACGCATAGTACTGTGCGCTGAAAGTGAGCGATTCAGACAGAGACTTGTTGTAAACTCGTCAAAAAAGTAGGCCTACTCAACACACACGCCATAAAAATAAACTTTGGTGGCTTGTGTGCACTGCTGTGATTAGTTCAGAGGACTACCAAAGTCTTCCCCTAGCCCTCAGTCCTACTCCTGCCCCTCAGCGCGATGTCCTCTGCAGCTGTATTTTATAGTGTCAGCATCATTTTTTACAGCTGCAGCTGTACAACCAACATACAACAGACATACAACCAACAGGTCTGGTATATCTGCAATTGCACTTCAGCAGCCGTGAGTTCAGGTAGTTATAGAAAAGTGAATAAAGTGTGTGGCTTTACAATCTTCAAATACATCGCTACTACATTGCGGATTTCACTTATTACAAGGAACCACAATTGTTTTCATTCATTCATTCATTTTCATCCCTTTATTGTCTATTTCTGGGTCAGGCGGGTGGCAATCAGACCTTCCACCCAATTCACAATGCACCAGTCCCTCGCTGATCCTCCAGCAGGTGGTGGGGCCACGGGAAGATGGCTGCTCCTTCTACACAGATACGGCCTTGATCTTTCAGCGGGGACTTCAGGCAAAGTGGGGTTAAGTATCTTGCCCAGGGACACAGCGACAGCAGACATCAACGGGAGCAGATGACATGGGTCGTGGTGGGATCGAACCCACAACATTAATTCATTAATTTGAAAAAATTAATATTCTCATTATTACTTTCAATGGCCATAAATAAACCTCTAATCTTTTCTACAATAAATACAAATGTATAAAAATAACTTTACTCACATCAGCGACTCCAGCTTCAAGGATTTTGAACTTTGTCTCTCGCTCCAATGTCTCCTTCTGATCAACTGGAAAAGAATACGAAAAGAAAAATGAAGATGAACCTAAGCTTTGCAGCACTCCCTGTGGATCATTGTTATATATTAAAGGAGCTATATCCGTTTCTGCAAGGTTTTTTTCAGTTTGATTATTTAGCACCCAACTCGCTCACAGGCTTCTCATTTCCCTTATGCTCTCCTCCCACAAGCCATCTAGTTTTATTTGCGATTTGATGCGTATACAAACATTAGCGCAACTTCTTGTAAGCTGTTCAACAATCACTGATGAAAGGGTACAAAAGCAACAAACTGCTAAAAAAATGTATAAAGTAACTAAAAGATTACAGCTAGTTTTGCGTCCAAATGTAGTCCGAGCCGGTCCCTCCAGCGAGGATACAATGTAAACTAGCTATTTTCACCCAGGCTTGATTTCTTCTTTGACAATTTTCCTCACTGTTGCGTCATTTGGGCTGTTTTGCTGTGTCTGCAGTTACATCCAGAGGAGTTATAGCCACTTTCTGCTAACATGCTGCTATGTTTACCTGCGCAGCAGACGCTAGAGAATGCAGCCTGTTCGTAACAGTGCCGCTCCTCGTTCTGTGATTGGAGGAGAGCTAGCATCACGGCAAGTTTCTACTCAGCACTTTTTACGGCCTGAATTCATATACAAGCTGAATCAATGAGCTCAAATTTTCTATTAAATTACGGATTTTAATACAATTTGTATGTAGTAATACACATTTTTATGAACTCCTTAGAAAATAAATCGGGTATAGCTTCTTTAACAAAAACTATGCAGAAGAGACGAGCCCCCATATCTGTACTCAGTCATTTCTTAAGTGTCTGTCTTACTGTGGAAGATTAGAGCCATCTCAAACCGGCTTCATCAGTGGTAATCTGATTCATCCATCCATCCATCCATTTTCTTCCCCTTAATCCATTTCTGGGTCGGGGGGGTGGCAGTCAGAGCTGCACCCAGTGCACAGTGGTGAGTGCACAGGAGCTGAGATCTTTCAGTGGGGGCTTCAGGCAAAGTGGGGTTAAGTGTCTTGCCCAAGGACACAACGACAGCAGTCATCAGTGGGAGTCGTGAAGTAGGTCTTATGGTGGGCTCGAACCCACGACCTTCAGGCCTAAAGGCCAGTGCTCTACCAACTGAGCTACTCTCACCCCCTGATTCCACATTCTAAAACATGAAATGATGTTACTATTGTTAAGATCTTGGTCCAGGGAAAATTAATGATGAATCAATGTTATACAATAGGTTTCTGGAGGCTGTGTTCGTCACATGGGCTGTGTGTGGGTGTGGGGTCCTGTGTGCCGCTCTGGTGTCCCGCGGCTTCTGGACCCCACACAGGGGTGCTGCTAAATAACGCCTCATTTATCAGCACGCACAAAGGCAGCTCCACTGCTGCTTTGAAAAGAGCGGGTTTCTGCAAACCTCCTACGCACGCGGAGATAGATGTCACTATGGAAACAGGACACGCCTCGTCCTGGTGACTATGGTGCTCCAGCATTCCAGACGCTCCATGTACTGTGTCACATAGTGTAACAAGTTTGAAAACAGAGCATATAGACTGACTTCTTTGTGTCAGAAGTTGTCACAATAAGACCATTTTGATTGATTGAGACTCATGGATAGTCTCTGTCCCAGTTAGGACAACACAGCGATTGTTTTAAAATGTACAGGACCAAAAAACCTGTGCTTTTTGGGATGCCACCATTGACACAACAAAACACAACACCCTCAATGATTATGTTTATAAGTTTCATTTTACATACCATAACTAAAATGTTATTTGAAAACTGCCCAGATTCAAAAGCTTCAATTTATAATCAAGATCACCTTTCTATCTAGAATATTTCAGATTCTATCGCCAAAGATCTGCTCTAAACCTCAAATTGGATAAAGCTTACATTTCATGCCTTTCCCTTCAATATTAGCCTGGCCATAGCCATCCGTACACTCCGCTTAATCATCATTTCACAGTGTGTAACCGTCTGGGTCTGGTCCCTGTGTTAGCGAATACAATCGGTCGTATTTCGACCAGCTACTCAGAGAGCGCGGAAGGCGGGTGTTGTAGGTTGGTGCCGGTGACGTCAAGAGTTTGCGCCGAACGGGCAGGTTGGGGTTTGGCAATGGCGAAGAATGCGATAGTAAAGTAATCTGGTCTGGTTCTATCAAGAAATTGAAGCAGGAGCAAGAGGAATGTTTAACAAATGTAATCGCTAGTCAAGATTGTGGTGCTACTCCCCACTGGCTCCGTTAGCAGCAAAGGAGATGGCTAAAGCTAGGCTAAATGCTAACAACACACTCGCGCCCATTACATACGTTACGGTAAACTCAGATCCAATGGTTTCAATCTGCAAAAGGAGTTAACCCCTCCCACCTGTTCACGGAGCTCAATGGAGAAAATCCAGACCTTAGCATGAAATGTAATTTGTACTAAGGTGTGGTACAACCAAGCTACTTCAATATGGGATTGGGTAAGTGTCTTACGTCTTCATATATAAAAATTTTGAACTCTCTCGAACTACTTAAAAACTGAACTAAGAATTCTGTGTGAGGGTTTGGATTTGTTTTGTGTTCTGCTCCCTCCTCCTGTGTTTGTGTTTCAGGCAGTGCTGATGGTGATGGGGGCGTGGCTGGTTCCATGGCAGCTGAGCACACCTGCAGCTCATCTCAGTGCGATCACGTGGGCTCTTAAGCTCAGCATAGACTGCAGTTCATCACCAGATAATTCCGTCTTGTTCGGTAGTGCTTTTGCCTCTGCACCAATTTTTGGATTACGACATTTTTCTGTATATTTTTTCCCAGCTGCTTCCGCCTCTTCCAGTCTCTGTCTCTACAGACTGCCTGCCAGTATCTATCTTTAAATAATAAACTGTAAATACCTCAGTCTCTACTCTGCTTTCTGGGATCCTATTTCTACTAAAACCTAACATTCTGAACATCAGCGTTGATTAACACATATTTATTTACACTCAACCTAAATCGATAATAAGATCCTCTACAAATGCATCCTAATTGGTTAAATTAAAGTAGCAGTAAGCGATTCAGTCGTTTCCGGCAGTTTCTTCTCGCCTGAGCGAGTTAGTAGCCCCGCCCCTGTCTCTACGTCACACCACATGAACGCGCATCGTCCTCCTTGACTACTACGAGTGATGGCAAGCAGCAAATCATCTCTGTCAGGTCTACCCGTAAGTATAAAAAATCACTGGGAGTGATAACATTATGAATATTTTGTTTGAAAATATTAGCGTAAGATAACCTAGCTATTAAAGGGGACATATCATGAAAAATCCACTTTTTGTGCCTTAAATGCCTTATGTTGTGTAGTTGGAGCCTCTAGAAGTGCAACAAAGTTGAAATCAGTCTCTTCATGGGTTGCAGAGAACACTTCATATTCTGTTTAGGTAAGATTTTTCAACCCGTTCTGATTTTGCCATTCTTTATTACGTGTTTAGAATTATTACGTCACAGTATTTGCAGCGGGACTGCTATATAAGGGCATGGGCGTCTAACAAAACACTTCGGCCCAGCCCTCCTCTACTGTGCATCACTTCGAATTTGTAGTCCAAGCTCAAGGATGCCAGCGAACAGGGCTGGACTGCCCATCGGGCGTACCGGGCAATGCCCAAACGGCCGATGCCCATATTTGGGCCGGTCTGTCTGCCTCATACAAAACACATGTTTATGAGTAGTGTAAATCCGTTGAGAATTGTTGGAGCGGGGCGCGCGTATCCGCGGGGCACCTGCTGTATGTACTCGCAGTCGCTCCACCGTGTTGCGGCTGAGCGCGCAGCCTCAACGTGGCCATGTACCCAACCCCATAAACGCGCACAGGACCATGCGTGTCTTTGAGTAATTGTGCACCCAATAAATACACTGCTGCAGGAAACAGTCCGCGTCTCCCCTCTCCTCTCGAAGCGCGATTTAACGCCCTAAATAAAGCTCTGATACCTACATTTTGCATTGCATTAAAAGTTGATGTTTGAGCCCAAAAGTAATATGTTGTGAACAAATTAAACAGATTTAGAGCCAGCAAATGGCTGACAATATGCATTTCAGTCTTTTTTGACCAATTCTCATCCCTGTAACAAACAATAGTGTTGTGTGTGTCCACCTCCCTCACTCTGAGACATGTTCATTACTCTCTTGTAATGCAGACTATTGCATTTTATTTTATTGTTGAAACTGCATATCCTGATCCTCTACAGTATTTGCTTCCACATACTGTATAAATTAGGAGTCGGCCACCTGCGGCTCCGGGGGTGCATGCGTCTTTTTCCTTCTGTAGAAGGAAAAACGTTCTTAACGTTTTTAAATGCTGTAAAATTGTGCATAAGTAATATTCAATTTAAACATTTCTGTCAACGTAGTGCGTCTTATCCTGCGACGTAGGCCAGCGCCAGGCGGCCGCTGTTGTAAACAAACCGGCATGTGAGCTCTGCTTGTTACAAGTCTCTCCATGGCCTCGCTCCAAAATATATTAGTGACGTGTTAGTACCATACGAACCAGCCCGGACTCTGAGGAGCACAGGGACTGGCCTCCTGCTGGGACTCTGAGGAGCACAGGGACTGGCCTCCTGCTGGGACTCTGAGGAGCACAGGGACTGGACTCCTGCTGGGACTCTGAGGAGCACAGGGACTCGACTCCTGTTAGTGCCCAGAGTCAGAACTAAACATGGGGAGGCTGCTTTTCAGATTCATGCTGCTAAAATCTGGAACAGTCTTCCTGAAGATGTGAGACAGGCCTCCTCTCTGACAATGTTTAAAACCAGGTTAAAAACAGTTCTGTTTAGCTGTGCTACAACTGAGGGATTTTATATTTTTATCTTTCTTTTTAATGTTCTGTGATTATTTATGATTTTAATGCTTTCATATTTTGTTCAGCACTTTGAATTGCCTTGTGTATGAATTGTGCTATATAAATAAACTTGCCTTTCCTCGCCTTGACTGTGCTCATGGATCCCAAAGCTAAAAAGAGAAGAGTCGATAATAAGACTGGACTAAGAATGAAAATTAACATTTGCTTTCAGTCAATGAGGAAGGACTGCTTCATGTTTGCGATGTAATGAGAAGTTTCTATGAGATAATTGTATCTGTGCTTAGAAACTACAAAAATGGCCGCTCGGGGTGGAGTTGAACCTGTGTCATCTGGATGGGGGCGTGGTCAAAAGCGCCTCATTTGCATTTAAAGAGACAGCACCAAAACAGGTTGCTCTCAGACGCACCTCAGAACAGGTGTAGAAGAAAGGCCCGTGGAGCTACAAATAATGAGACTCAGACCCAGGCATTGCAGTTACGCTTTATATAGGCCACAAATTAATGATTTAGATGTAAAAATCAATTATTTGAAAACACGATATGTCCACTTTAAGCCGAAAGCGGCTTGATGTTAGCCAGGATATCACAAAGAAAGAGATTGAAACAAGAAATAAAAACCTACTATAATAAAAAAAACATCACAAACATTAATAGATTTAATCTTTACAAACAAACCAGAAATAGCAACAAAAACCTATAACCTGATTACTGGTTTATCAGACCATTACCTCACACTAGCAGTCAGAAAATTAAACAAGTCCAGATTTGAGTGTGAAGGTCCAAATAATATCCACAATATATCATTTGTCACCAAGCAAGTTCTCCCTCTGCTTAAGAATGATCTGATGCAAGTAAAATGGAGCGAAATAATAACTGTCATGCGAACAAGCATGTAGTGACTTTATCTCCACTCTACAATCTATTTTACATAATTATACAAAACACAAAAGAAAGAGAGAGGGGCAGTTTACACGGAGACAATGTAGCAGTAAAACACTATAGTTGGATGTCGGTTGCTACCAACCGTTCATACGAAGACTGTGTTCCAGGGGGGTGAAAACGTAAGTGTTCAGATCCAGCCTGCAGAGTGGGACAACTCAGATACGCTGCTCACACCCGTGTGAGGGAAAAAGGTGTGAATTCTCTGCCTGCTCTGACCCCCACCGTGCTGCTCCCTGCATGTAAATTTGGACATGCGCAGTAGCGGAGAACAAACAAACAACAATGGCGGCGGGCACACTTACTAGCTTTGTGGGCTTTCGAGTGCGGCACAGAGGATAATTCTACTCCTTCGTTCGTCCAAACGAGACCACGCGAAGCTCTAGTTTCAGTTTCCATTTTCACAGCTGCTGTTAAAATGCAGAATGATGTTGGTGCTTTCTTCCACGTCTTCTACAGGAAGTGAGTATACTGCCGGGGGGGGCTGGGCACAGGGCTGGGGGTCGCGTGTGTGGGCTGTAAAGTTTCTCTGCCTACTACTGGCCAGGCGCTAGAACTACATCGTTTTTCAACCTCGTATGAACGCTAAGAAATTTGCATTAGGAGCCTGGTCGTTTCTGCTAATAGCCTGGAAACGTCTGCGCAGCGTCTCAGTAAAAACTCAGCCAGAGAGGGGCGATAGTAGCTCAGTTGGTAGAGCATTGCCCTTTAGGCCCAAAGGTCGTGGGTTCGAGCCTACCTCAACAC